TACTAGCTTAGTCAAATGTTGAGAGTTGCAAGCAGGGCAGACTTCAGGTACCTTCCTGTATGCTTCTTTTTTCTTTTTTTTAAAAAAATTCTAGTGAAATAGACATTACATAAAATTGACTGTTTTAACCATTTTTAAGTCTACTGTTAAGTGGCAACAGTTTAGTGGCATTAAGTATATTCACAGTACTGTGCAACTGTCACCACCACCTCTTTCCAGTGCTTCTTATTCTCTGAAACTGAGACTTGTATCCAGTAAGGAGCAACTCCGCGTTCCTTCCTGTCTGCAGCCCCTGTGCTCCCTGTTACACTTTGTCTCCATAAATTTGCCTGCACTAGGTACTGCATATAAGTAGACTCACACAGCATTTGCACTTCGTTTAACTTAACCTCTTAAAGGTTCATCTGTATTTTAGTATATATCAGAATTTCCTGACTTTAAGGCTGAATATGCGTGTGTTTCACATTTTTTCCATCTATTAGTAATAGTCACTTGTCTCTGTTTTTTTAGTCAGTTGTCTTTGAAAGATACTGTAAATGAGAAAACAATTTATGTTTACCTACACATTTATTATGGATGGCACTCTTTTTTTTTTAAGGCAGGGTTTCAATATAGTGTAGGCTGGCCTTGAACTTACTTATGTAGACCAGGCTAGCCTGAAACTCACAGTGTTACAGGCCTATGCCACCATGCCCATCTTGTATGGTGCTCCTTTAGCTAAATTCAGAATTCTATCTGAAAGCTTTTTTCCCCCTATCTACATTGCTTGGTCTTAGTACCAGTGATTGAACCCACCCACACTCTTACATTAAACTATGTCCCGGAGTGTCCTCCTTTAATTAATTAATTAGAGAAAAGGTCTTGCTAAGTTACCCAGAATGGGCTCAAACTTAGAATCCTCCTGCTTCAGCCTCTCAGAGTGATGGGATTATAGGCATATGCTGTCACGCCCAGCTTGATCATTTCTTGCAGTGCAGGTCTGCTTTGTAAGAATTGTCTCAGCTTTCATTTGCCTAAAACATTATTTTCCTTTCATTTTAAACTATCACTTTATGGTAGAATTATGAATTCTGGGGATTAAAGGAGAAACAATTAAAAATCCATTCTTTCAGTTGAGGTTGATAGATGATTTGGAAAATGGCAGAGTAAGAAAAAATGCAGAACAGGTATTACAAAGATAAAATATAAAGATTTGAAGTTTTATTCAGATGAAAGGAAAAGTTAGGTTTATCATCATACCACAGTGATATATGTACACCCTGTTTATAGCAGCGTAATTTGTAATAGCTGAAGTTTGGAAACAAACCAAATGTCCTTCAACCAAGAAATGGATAAAAAAGATACAGTCTTTTTATACAGTGGAGTACTGCTTAGCCATAAAGAAGGATAAATTTGAAATTTTGATAGGTAGATGGATGCAACTAGAAGCCATACTCATAAGTGAAATCAAACCCATGTGTGAAGCAGACAACATCAGATTGTCTCCTTGGCATGAGGAACTGAAAGAGTAAATAAAGGTTTAAAATGCACAATAAATATTGTGAAAGGGGGAAAGATTGTTCAAAAGGAAAAAGGAACTAGATTAGGGAAAAGAGGAAGGAAAAGAAATGGAAAAAATACAAGTTATACTATTAATATTTCTTAGTTCATTGAAAGAGGAAGGTTCGTGCTAATATTGATTGGAGAATTATTTGTCTTTATACTCTCAATAACTAAAGATAACAATATGCAATGTATTAACTATTGTTA